CGGCTGCCCGCTTCCCCGTCACTTTGAGAGCACCGCTCACGAGAGCCTGGTGAAAATCAAGAATGTATGTAACGATAGATACGGGCCAACAGAAAAGGGAAATCGTGAATAAGGCTGTAAGCAGTGGGAGCCACGGAGCCTTGTGCTGGAAGACCATGACTGGGGGAATGATAGGCTCCCACCCAACCCTGAACTTGTTTGGGGCTGGCTGCTCTGCTGGATGCACGTAAGACTGTGGGGCCTGATGGCATTCATCCCAAGGTACTGAGAGAGCTGACTGACGTCATTGTGGGACCTCTGCCCATCAGTTTTCAGCAGTCTTGGGAGTCTGGAGAGGTCCCTGTTGACTAGAAGCTGGCAAAAGTCACACTGGGGTTACCAAGGCTTCATTTTAGGGCCAGTGCTCTTTAATGTTTTTATAAATGATCTGGCTGCAGCAATCGAATATTAAGTAAACTTGCTGATGATGCTAAACTAGGAGGAGCTGTGGGCTCTCTTGAGGGTAGAGAGGCCTTACAGAGAGATCCACATAGGCTAGAGAGCTGGGCAATTGCCAATCATAGGAAATTCTACAAGAGCAAGTGCTGGATTCTCCATCTGGGATGGGGTAATCCTGCTGTGATACAAACTGGGGGAATGAAAGGCCTAAGAGCAGCCCCATGCCAAGAGATCTAGGGGTTTGGGTTAGTGGCAAGTTGAAAAGGAGTCAACAGTGTGCCCAGCCAGCCAAAAGGGCCAGCTGTGTCCTGGGGTGCATCAGGCACAGCATAACTCCCTGGCTGAGGGAGGTGATTATCCCACTGCACTTGTGCAGCCCCACCTGGAGGCCTGCATGCAGTTTTGGGTGCCTGAATACAAGAAGGACATCCAGCTACAAGAGTGTGCCCAGGGGAGGGTGACCAAGGTGGTGAAAGGCCATGAGGTTGCCCTTATGAGGAGCAGCTGACATCACTTGGCTTGTGGACTTGATCCTCATGGGTCACTTCCAGTTTGAGATATCCTATGATTCTGCACTTACAGATTGCTGATGTGGGAAGGAAAGGCCCAGGGTCATGCAGCTCAATAGCAAATCAACACACAAAGCTTTTTGCACTACCAGAGCCTTTGCAGGGCTGTGAGAGGAAAAGAGGAAAGACAGCAGCTGGAGCTTTGTGTTCCCAGCAGCAGTGCTGGGAGGAAATCCATGTTCATGGAGAGGACAGCCACCACCCTCTCCACCCTCCTAGTCCCTGGGGAAAATAATCAGTGGGAGAGACAGTGGAACTCCACAGTTTATTATAAAAAGGCAAATTAGTGGATTATGGAAACAAAGGGAATCTGTCACACAGCTGCAAACAGCAGCCTGGAAAAGGCCCTGAGGGCAGGAGGAGCTCTGGCTGTGGCAATGTAGCAGCTGAGAAACGCCCTCACAAGAGGGACCCTCAGTCCCTCAGCACTCATTCCTGACCACCACCCTCAGGGCCAGCCTGGAGCAGGGGTGAGTTTATTCTCTGGCCCCAGTGAACTGCTACAGAGCTGGGGGATCCAGAGAGACAGGCTTTCAGGGCACTGGCAAAACATCTCGGCCTAGACGCTGAAAAGCCCCAGGGGACCTTGTTCCCTGGGTTTAACTGTGTCCCTGTTCCATGGCAGGGTGCTACATCGCTGCCACTGCCCTTGCACTGCAGCAAGGCTGCGTGCGCAGGCAGCTCAGGCACGACACAGCTCGGAGGAGTCCAATGTTCCAAGGAGAGCTCACAGCAGATTCAAGGTGTTGTCCAACCAATTACAAACTGGGTTTCCAGAAACCCTCCCAGTGGGGAAGTTCCACCATTGGACAAGGAAGCTCTCAGGATCTCTCAGAGCTCAGTGCCAGGACACCACAGCCTGCACTGTGCACGAGATGGGACTAAGTAGTCCTACTCATTCCTGAGCCCCAAACCTACAAATCCTTCCCCACATCACTCTCCCTTCTATTCCTGTGGTTTGCACCGTGCTATTGCTTTGCAAGCACGTCAGTCACCATGGAGGGACAGTGTGAGACCAACCATGCTGGAGCAGGCCAAGGCCACACAGCCAGCAGTGGAAGTCTCCAAAGAACCAGAGCAGACCCAGAGAAGCTGCTTCCCCACTGCCAGCATTCACAGCCCACGAACCGGAGCCAGAGAAACTGTGTGTTTTACAGCATTTGGTGAATCTTTCCGTGGACCCGCTAATTACTTCTGAAGCCGGGTGAACTTGCACCAGCCCTGGTGCACAGAGCTCCCACCGAGGGACAGCAAGCAGTCCTGTCACTTGTTCCTTGCCGTGCAATGAGCTCGTACCCCTTATCCCATAGCAGCCTAATTCTTTAAAAGCCTTTGGTGAGGAACCTTCTAGAAATGCAGATACAGGTCTCATCACCTTGTAGTGACCAGAGCACCTCTCCCAGCAGCAAGGAGCACATGTTCTTCTGTGCCAGGCAGGTCTGAGAACACACAGGAACAGGCACAGAGCCCAGTTTTCACTTGAATAAACCCCCTTGAGCTACTCGGGATTTAAGATGCTGCAGCAGAGTAACAATACCAACTACTTACTAGCAGAGAGAGAAAAAGAAATAGCTACTTCGGCAGGAAGCTGGACAGCAGTTAAACACACAGCCCAGCTCCCAGGACCCCACGCAGAACAGAAACCCCCACAGCACATAACACTGCAGCAATGAAATGGATGGAAACGCCCCGCGCCCAGTCAGGAAGATCTCACGCATAGATCCAGTGCTCAGTCGTGTCCTCCCAGCAAGTCAGCTCCTCCGGGCGGAACCAGAGCGAGATCTCCTGCTGGGCACTCTCAACAGAGTCGCTGCCGTGGATCACATTCCTGTGGGGAAGAAAGGGATCAATCAGCACTAAGCAGAGAAAGGCAAGAGAGGGAAGCTGCAGTTTGGAAAATTTCACCTTGACCAATTTAATTAAATTGAGTCAGCCACAATATTCTTTCCCACCAGCACAGCCTTCCTTCTTCCAGCTCTGTGAACATGGATGTGCAGGAGCTGCCAGTCCCCAGCACTCCTTCCTTGATGAGGAACCATTGGTTTGCTACAGGAGGAGCTGCAAGTGGCTGTTGATCCAGGGCTTGACTTGTTTTTGTGTCAGTTATTCAAGTTTTGACTCCAGATTTCCCCCCTTCCTTACAAAGCAGGTTTGGGATAAGACACCAGAGAAGAGAAACCTAATCCAGGAGGGCTGGATAGAAGTGCTATCTACCAGGAGCCAGGCTGCAGCCACCTGAGCTCACAGCGGTGGATCTTCACTGGTGAAGGGCCCTAGCGCATGCAGAGCTCCTGCTTGGCTCAAGTTACAGACTCGATGCCCAAGGGAGCTAGAGCAGCTCTCCAGGTGCCCCATGCCTCCAGAAAAGGGCTGAAAGTGCTCCTCCCTTCCTCTTCACAGTCTGACAGTCCTGATTCCCCACCTGCTTTCAATAGGGAAGGCCTCAGGAGGCAGGAAAAACACATACCTAGGCCCATCCTCCTGGCAAAGCCAACCACAGGAGGCAGAGGTCAGCACACCCTGCCAGAGCTGCTCTGCAAGCTGCCAGCGGCAGGCAGTGCTCATCTGAGCGCAGAAGGGAGCAGCTCTGTAGACTTGTGTGGCTCAGGCAGGCCTTGCACAAGAACGCCTGGATAGGATGCCCAAGGGAACAAAAAGGCAAAGCTCTCACTTGCTGACTTCGACGCAGAAGTCTCCTCGGATGGTGCCAGGCCTGGCATCAGCTGGGTTAGTCTCCCCAATCATTGTGCGAACCGTCTTGACCACATCCAGGCCCTGCCAGACCTACGTGACAGCAAAGCAACAATCAGCTTCCACAACTCCCGCAGCAGATCCTATTGTCTGTCCTCTAAATTCCCCACCTGATCCACCCGTGTGAGACAGGAAAGCGTCCCTCTGTAAACAGTCTCCAAAAGTCGATTTTGGAAAATAATCAGGATTGCCTGTGGATTTATTCACCACAGAAAACATCCCTGTGGTTCAGTACAGCTACAAGAGGCCCTGTGAAGTGAGAGACCACCTTGTTTCCATCGTGCCACATGCCAATGCTGCTTAAACACTGCCCTTTCTGCTCCTCGGTTCCGGAGAACCCAGCCAGCACTCACCATGGCCACTACGGGCCCGGAGCTCATGTACTTCACCAGCCGGCTGTAGAAGGGACGGTCACGAAGGGCGATGTAGTGCTCTTTCAGCAGCTCCTCCGAGGCCTGAACACAAAGAGCACAAAGCTTAGCCTGCTCTGAGCAGGTGGGATTTGGGCAAGGCCTACACCCGGGCCATGCAGCCGAAGCCAGGTAGCTCATGTTCCAGTTCAGCTCCTGCACGCTCGCTTCCAGGCTTTGCTGGCACACGGAGCAGAGACGCTTCAAGGTCAGAGGAGCAGCAACAGCCATGGACAAAAGCTCTGGAGCACGGACACAGTTTGAGGGCAGGTGTGTTCCCCACAGCGGGAGTTGCCCCTCCAGAAGCAGTTTTGGCACCCGGGTGCTGACACCCCCCCGGCCTGTGAGGATCTGGGGCCCGAATGACAACCCTGGGCTGGAAGGCAAGGGGATCGCCGGGGTTGACCAGCAGAGCCGGAGCCCGCAGGGGCCTTGCTCCAGCCTGGGCCCCCCGCACCAGGGGA